GAGCTGTCCATCCTAAACCCTGACACCCTCTGCATGAGGTACATCTTATTGGGGAGGGATTGCTCTATGTGCAACCCCTCTAGTTTCCTCCAGATTCCGAAGGCCGTCCTTTCGGATATGACCTTCCTTAGAACCTGATCCGCTAGAGCAAGCACTATGAGGTTCCTAGCTCTTCTACTCCTTTCTTGTCTCTCTTTGAGAGCCGAAGTCCCCGATCCCTTTGCCTCGGGTCCTAATGACTCGGTGGAAAGGGTCGTAAGGCCTCCCGAATCCTCGGTTTCCCGAGCTGGAGTTTTTGGGCTCCCCTCATCAGCAACCCCCCACAAAGATGGATCATCCTCTAGTGTGTCCCATAACCCTAGGATCTCTAAGCTAATGGACATCTTCTCCTTACATAAGGAGAAGTCTTCCTTGCCGTCGAACTTCTCGACGTCAAGGCCGCGATACAGAGGGGCAGACATCACTAAGGAATACCTAATCTCTAACCCGAGGATGCACTAGACCTACCTAGGACGACACTAAACCTGTAAATGACTAAACCGACCCTAGGAGCACCTGAAACCAGACCTAAGGAGTAAGACCGATCCTAAGAGGACCTAAACCTAGGTATTTTTCAACCTAACAGACCTAATAGACTCTAAACCTGCCTACCTAAGACCTGATTACGTCTAATAAGACCTACCCCAAGGCTAACACTGACCTAATCAACCTAGATCAGACCTAAATCGAGTCTATTCTGTCCTCCTAAGTCCTAATCAGACCTAATCCAACCCAATATTGACTTATCTACCCCTGATCAGACTTGAATTAACCTAATCAGATCTAAACTAAGTCTAAACCGACCTAATTAAATCTGAGCAGACCTTATCTAGCCTAAAATCAATCCTTACAGACCTGTACCTATCGATTTCAAGTCTAATACTGACTTCTAACTCACCTAATTCAGCAAAATCCTTCTATTCAGGCCTAACCGGACAGAATTACCGGACTCTATGGACTGAAACTAGGTAACCAAAGTCTACTGCAGATCTAATCTGCCTCTAACTAGGATAAATCGATCTATACAGATCCTAAATACCCTAAACCAGAGATAATACCCTAAGAACCGGATTCTATCTAACCAAATTGAACCAATCAGACCTAAAACCGACCAATTTAAGTCCTAATCAGATAATCCTGACCCTAAACCGACCAATCTAGACATTTTCTAGGCGATACAGACCCTAAACCAGACAAACCCAGCCCTATTTGGACAAACCAGACCCTAATCAGACCTAAACCGGCTCAATCCCGATCTAAATTGACCTAAACCGGACTCTATTGTCCTAAACCAGTCCTAGATTGACCTAAACCGGTATGGGTTATCCCGAACCGGACCTAAATTGACTTGAACCGGTCCAATCGACCCCAAATCGGACCTGAACCGGTCTAATTGACCTGAACCGGTCCGATTTTCCTAACCCGGTCAACTGTTGACCAGAAATTGGTCAACCTTTGACCTAACCCCACTAAACCGGTTCGATTTTAAATCGAACCCGGTTCAATTAGACAATCTCAATTTAACCGGCTAAACCGGATTAAACCGAGAAACCCTAATTTTCGGAAGCTTAGCCGCCGAGTTAACCTGGTCAACTCGGACGTTGACTCACCCAGGGGAATAACTCAGTCGAGACTCGAACGAGTCACGGCCGAGATTCGCCTGAAACCACCGGTTTTCACCGGTTTCCCCCCAGAACCCTAGATCTACGCAAACTGAGTAGTAACTCACCTCTTCGGAGTCTAAACTCGACTGATTTACTCAGTTCGAGTCAGAATCGGGAAAACCTACCTCTTTCCACCGTCGATCTGAGCTCGTCTGCCGGTGACCGTCGCCGATCTCGACTCGAGATGGCTCTTGCTTCGCTATTTCACGCCTGAAACACCTCGATCACCCCGGTTAGAATGCTCAGACCCGTAACAGAACGTACCTCGGACTTACCTCACATGATTTCCACCGCAGATCCGCCGAGCCTCGCCGTCAACCGGGGTCTTGATACCACTTGTAGAGGATTCAACCTCTCGAAACCTCACTGATTCCCTTCGAATCACTCGTTCGAACAAGAAACGAAAGAACATGGTGGAATACGAGTTCAGTACCGAGCTCTAACGCTCGGTACCTACGTCTCGGGAAGAGGAACAACGTTTGCTAGGGTTACACAAAGAGAACTGCCGGAGATCGACCCCAAACCATGGAGAACACAAGTTCACCGATCTAGAGAGAGAAAACAACCCAAAACCAGAAAACGCAAGTCTGAAGACACAAAACACGAATTAGGGTTTCATTTATTACCTTAAACCAAACAAATGACCGAATTGCCCCTCCGCGTTTTGGAACCCTCTGACCGAAACCGAAGCTTCGAAACCTTCTACTCCGCTAAGAGAATTTGCTGAAAACTCAACATTTATAAATAAATCTAGTCGCGATTAGATGCTTTTAACTGCAGAAGAATAAGAAAAAACTTGATCTAGTTATAATTTCTATTAGAGTGTAGAAACAAATGGTTTGCGTATAAAATATTCTTTATCTAACTATCCACCAGGAGAATTAAGTAGTTTTAATTTATCATTATTTTTAATGGTATTCAATGATGAAACACAATGTATATATATTTTAAAATATGTATGGGATTTTTTAGTTTCGATTCATTTAATAATTCTGTCGCTTATTTTTTGTAACTGTTCTGAAATGACGTGAACATACTTCGGAAATTTTTTTTTTGAAACAATGAAATTATTATCAGAAAAATAAGAAATATATTTTAATATTGGGGTATTATTAATCCTGAAATCTTCCGATTCCGTCTTTGGCATGTTTTTTTTTTATAACGGAGGATCTCTAGCTGCTATCATTCGGGCGCGCTGATTAGGTAAACCTTCGGCCCGGGAGCAGTCTTTATATATGGATCATATAAACCCAGAAATTACCTCTCTCCCCACCAGTGAGGAATCGAACACTCAACTTCAAGGTGTTCTTACCCCAAACTTGACCACTCGTCCACGATCTGTTGGGTTCTTTGGCATGTTATACGGAAGAGGAATTCATACACATATTATGTCGATGTATTAATCCAAATACTTATACTATACAGATGCAATCATTCATACGTCACACCTCGAGTTGGTCAGATGTTCTTTCGAGTTGATTAATTTCACTCGAATCATTATACAAATTTGAGCATTGAAGAAGATGACACAATAAACCTATAGGCATATGAATGATTGAGTATAAAATAAAAAAAAAATGCGAAGAGACGAGATCCAATGACATAATGTGCACGAGGTTAAAGAAGGAGAGAAAGCTGCATCATATTAATGAATTGACATGTATGTTCAATGACACACTTGTATATACATACATAAATACATATATATATATATATATATATATATATATATATATATATATATATAAAAAGTAGGAGGTGATGTGTGTGCATTGATGGAATTGACATGCCCCATTTGGGATTGCACCTATTTTCAACGTGAGACAAATATATGTCACACGTATATATATATATATATATATATATATATATATATATATATATATATATATATATATATATATATATAAAAAGTAGGAGGTGATGTGTGTGCATTGATGGAATTGACATGCCCCATTTGGGATTGCACCTATTTTCAACGTGAGACAAAAATGTATGCAAATAGGTAAAGAAAAAATACAAGAAAAGGGTTGAAATAAAGTAAGGAAATTCAAAATTTCATAGAATCAAATAATAATTTTTTGGAAAAGTTATGGGCTTTTGGCGATCTGCTTGATCCACTTTGTCTTTTTGATGTTACCTTTGTTAAGCATATACAAATACTATTGTAATTTTGTATATATACTCTATCGTTATACTTGTTAATACATACAAAAAGACTTTTATTTTATATCTAACCGATTAGCACACACAAAAAGACTTTTGCCTGTGGTCGAGTGGTACCTGGACTGGAAGTGAGGATGTTCCTCCTTCAGGTCAGGGATTCGAATCCAGACATGTGGGGAGGGAGAGGCATAGCCAAAGGCTGTGTGTTCAAAGGCTGCTCTCGGGTTCAGGGAGATGTAGGTTGGGCCAAAGGTTCAGATGAACTTCCTGATTTGACAAAAAAAAAAAAAGACTTTTGCCCTATATCTAAAATCTAGTAAGCAATATTACTATATCAACAACAATATATTTAGATTATATTGAAAATGTATAACTCCAAAAGTGTATATATATATATATAATTCTTAGAGGGCAATAATTGAGAGGTTGGGGACCCCTCGGAGGATAGTCTCCAAATACATAGGCACCATCTTTATAAAAAAGGCCATCAGAAATGTTGAACCTCTTGTGTCCATAATTTTTATTTCATATACTTTCCCCCTTTTGTTAGTTTATTATTCTTCTTTTTTTATTGGACCACACTTATCACTTATCCATCACAACATCACGCGTCTCTTGTATTCATTTCATTTCATACACTAATTGATCGATTTTTTTTTTCCTTTTTATTTCTGCTTTTAGCTAAGGGGTTGTGTAATTTAAAAAAGAAAATATAGTTTGACTAAAAAAAGTAGCAAGGAAATATAATTTATAGAAAATAGCGGTGAAATATATGGTTTCTTTATATTAAACTAATGTAACCTAACATATTGAAATTTATATTTAAAATTTGATAGATTTTAACATGTCAAATCTTGATTTATATTAAAAAAATAATTTGGGAAATTTGATAGTAACGGCGAATTTTGGTGAACCGATGAATTTTGTCGGATGTGACAAATAATTTTGGGCCGGAGAAAAAGAATTTCCAGCCTATAGCGAGCAAACTAATAAATGGGCCCAATTTAGGCCCAATATTATTTGGGCCATTTGGCCAGATGGGGAAATAACATGTCACGCGCCGGCGGAGCGCGTGGGAGCAAGGGCATCAGATTCCTCGCAACCCACCCACAGTAGAAGAAATCGAATCCATGAGATTTGCAGAGACTTCATCCGGACAGTCTATGGCAAAGATCTTAGCGCCGTTTTATTCCCTATCACTTCTTCGGCGGTCTGAACTAAGCTCCTCCGATTCCTGTCGGATCCGATTCCCTCCCTCTTCCTCGGCTTCGGGTCAGTTCGAGCCTCGCCCTTCTTCGCATTTCATCTGAGTTTCTTCCCTAATCATGGCCTAGATGATAGGTTGATGAGATCAATTTCGAAATAAAATCGACTGTGTGATTCTCCGTCTTAATTTCAAGCTTCGGTTCAGATGGTCGTCTGTCGAATGATCCGTTTTGTTTAATTTCAAGATTAAGGTCTAGATGAGAAGTTCATGAGTTCGATTTCGAAAGATGTTTCGTCTTTTTACCGTGTGATTCACCAAGCGTCATCCATTTGTTTGATTTCTTCTTCATGCTGAGCTTGTGCTTCATGAGTTCTGAAGAGGGGAGAAGAAATGCATTTCTAGGGTTGTAGTTATAAGGCAATTGTAGAAATTCGGATATGATACACAAATTTGTATGTGTGAATGTTTATTTTGGCGGAGTAAGCTTCTTTCTGGTTCTTTGTTGGAGAGATGGGGAGATATATACAGTGTGTATATAATCTACTCTTAGGCGGTGTATTAGGACGTATACGGTAGCATATACACTAATACACATGACACACACATATATGTATATATATGCCAATGCTTATACATGAATGTTTTGTGCTGTTAAAGTAGGTTTTGGTGAACCTCCAAAGCCATGGGCGATGTAATTGATTTGACCGGTGATGGTGGCGTCTTGAAGAAAATCATACGGAGCGCCAAACCTGATGCAGTCTCACCCTCGGATGATCTTCCTCTCGTCGATGGTATGTCTCTGGGAATGATCATTGAACTCGAACTTTCGCATTCTTCTGCTTCTTTGTTCCTTTCTTCGAGCCTGTAGGTGTTATTAACCCGAAGCGAAAGTAGCTTAAGGCACAACAATCACTATCTTCAGATGGGGAAGCTTGTTTGTTCTGCTTGGTTCGGGGTATCTCATGGGTTTAGGACATGATATCTTCTGGTTATGCAGTTCACTACGAGGGTATATTGGCTGAGGACGAAAAGGTTTTCGACACAACACGTGAAGACAACACGGTGTTCTCCTTTGAGCTGGGATCAGGCAATGTGATCCGGTCTTGGGACATTGCACTTCGAACCATGAAGGTTGTTTATTCGCTTTCCACGCTTTCTCAGCTCGACTTGATGATCTTCTAGACAATTTAATCCCGCTTTCACTTGTCAGGTAGGAGAAGTTGCTAAAATCACTTGTAAACCGGATTATGCTTATGGTAGTGCGGGATCTCCTCCCGACATCCCGGCAGAGTATGTTCCCGCATCCCGCCGAGGAAAATCTCGATCTTGTTAGCTTTCTGTTTTCTAAAATGACAAATCTCATTAGCAATCTTTCACAATGGGACGTGTCTGTCTGGTCGGAAATGCAGTGCAACATTGATTTTCGAGGTGGAGTTAGTAGCTTGCAGACCAAGAAAGGGTTCTAGCGTGGGAAGCGTCTCTGAGGAGAGAGCTAGGCTCGAGTAAGCGAGCATATTATACACACACACACCCTTACCCTTTTGGACATAACGTCGATAACTCGTGCTGTAGCAAATACATAACAATGCGTAACGGTTGTGGTTGCAGAGAACTGAAGAGACAGAGAGAGTTAGCCTCTGCTGCTAAAGAGGAAGAGAAGAGGAAGAGGGAGGAGGCGAAAGCTGCAGCTGCTGCTCGGATTCAGGCCAAGCTTGAAGCTAAGAAAGGTCAAGGCAAAGGCAAGGGCAAAGGCAAATCCAAGTAAAGATGGTTTTAGAATAACTAAGCAGATGAATTGGATAATAATATGATGGCTATATATTTCAATAGAAGAGGTTATAAAGTCACTAAAGATGGTGTTTCCTTGATTTGGGTTTGAAGTCGGTAGACAAAGCCACAGTAAGACATTGTGCCATTACAAGATCTCCGATCTTTTAAGATCTTTCCACATTGTTCTCGGCATCACATGGATGGCTGTCGGCTTCAAACCATGTCGGAAGCATCCATGGCGTCTTCCCGTTCCACATCTTGCCATCCCGAACGAGCTCTGAATTTACAGACAGGGCATGTCCCTTGTTGCCGCAGCCATGGGTCGATGCAACTTGCATGAAACTGAACGTGCAGAGGAGACTAATTAGGTTAAAAATATCATTTTATTTTACAAAAATAAAATAAAATGAAGAGAGGACAGAGATATACCGACCTGATGCAAGCAAGGCAAGCTACGGACAAGTTCCCCAACGTTCACTTGCTCGAGGCAAACGCTACATGTCAGCTCGTCTTCTGCTCCCTTTTTACTTGAATCTTGCTTCTTCTGCTTAAAAGAACTTACCTTTATGACATGATTTTTAAAGAAACTTCAAGAACAACATCAAAGATAGCTTTTTTTTTTTTCAAAAAAAAAAACACTCTGAATAGCTTCTGTAACTCAGCAATCCAATTCGGTTATAACACATCATGGATGTTTTTAAGGCAATTCGGTTATAATTTTTTTTTTAAAAAAATATCTCAGCTCGCGAGCTTGGCGAGCTAGCTCGACGGCGAGCTGGCTCCTCATCGAGCTAGCTCGTTAGGTTCGTTTGCATGTTGGCTCAGTTCGGATCGTGACGAGCCGGTAACAAGCCAGCTCGCGAGCTTGTTTTGACACCCCTAATTTTTATACACTGTTTCCAAACTTGAAGAAAAACTCTAAAAGCGCCTAACTTCGAATCTTGTAGAAAGGGAAAGGGAAAAAATGCAGTTTACCTCAGTTGAGGATGATGATGACGCCTGCTGTGCCAAGGCGCAACCGCTGTCAAACACAGAAATTGCAGATTTAGATAGTCAAGGATCACCCGAAAAAAAAAAGCATAACAAGACCAAAAGCACCCTCAGTTGCTATTTTCATTTTGTACTCCAATAATTTCACTTGCTCTCTCACAATCTCGACATTTTTCAGCAATGATACCCGTGTAAGATGGGTACGAGAAATTCTTTGAAGTAAAAGTAGCTCACTTTTCAGGACCCGGAACCTTGTATTTGTGAACCGGAAGGGCGTTTATCTCTTCCTCGCTCATAGAGGCAGTTGTCGGAACATTATCAGAATCAAGCGCCCTTAGAGTTTCATAATCTGCAGCAGCACAAATTTTCCATCAGATTTCAACCGAACGAGTGAAGACGACGATATAACAAATATAGACTTCAAAAGGCTAGCAGTTTTTCCGCTAAATAGCAGACCAAGGTCATCAAATTCCCGATCGAGAAGAGCAAGCTGGAGCCTGAGCCCTTGGAGACGCCCTCTGGTCGCAAGAGCAATGGAGGGTGGCATATGCAACCGCAACTCAGTATGGCTGAAGAGGCCACTTGCAGCAGCAGCGTGAGCCTGAGCCTGAGCTTGAAGTTGTTGACATGTCGCATACATTCTAAGGGTCGTTGCCATCAAAAATACCCCAAGCACAAGCCAAAGCTTACAAAAACACGCAATGTCAGATCAATACCCAAGACTCTAAAACCTCAAAATCTCCAATCAACCGAAAGGAGACGTGATTCAAATGTTATGTGATGATGAACACTACCAGAAAATTGGGAGGCATCTGATGCGAGTTGAGAATCATGAATAGCAAAAGCACTGTAAAACACACACCGAACAAATAATGCATCGAAAGGTAATGAAAATGGATCACAGAAAGCAGAGAAAGGAAGCTGCATTGTTACAAAGTCATATTACCGGTTACGAGAAAAGCAAGTGAGTTCGAGTTAACCGGCCGAGCGGCATGAATACGCTGCATTGTTCCCGACAGCAAAAGTCACAGCCATGAAACATCATTAGTAAATTATGACAACACCATGGAGAAACAACATCTTCAGTCATCAAAACATATACGAGGAACATACATACCATAGCCCGTCTTTCGGGTATAAACCCAGAGAAGCCGCTTTCTAAATCTCCTCTACTTCCGCGGAAAACAAAACTCATCTTTACACCTGCGAAGTCTACTCGATCAATTATCACCAGGTAACACAAACCCAGACATTATAAGTGTAGCAATTGTCAGAGCGCATAGGCAAAAGTTTCACAATTTGCAGACGCATACATCAACACGGAGCCCCAAATTCTACCCAGATCGACGTCATCAGCCAAAAAGCCCTAATTCAATAAGAACCCAGAAACCATCTCGATTCCATCAACCACGGAGAGGCATCGATTTCGAACAATGACGCGAATCTCCCATGAAATCCAACGATTGGGACAGATAAACAAGAGGGTATTCGATTAAACGCCCGTAGAGGAAATATTCTAGGGAAAAAACGGAGAATCGATTCGGTAAACAAGATATCGGAGGAGGGCTTCACCTGGAGGCGGAGAATCTACGGATACGAGTGGGATTTTCTCAGGGAGAGGAAAGGCATAGGGAGGAAGACGGGTGACGGAATCGGGGGAGGACCAAGTCGGCAGGGACCGGGTTCTCGGTGGCTATTCCGCGGAAAGCCAACGCTTTCCTCGTGGATTTTGTTTTCTTCCCCCCGATCCTGACGATGATGTTTGTCTCCGTCGGCCATGTTCACGTGATTAAGCAAAGCACTCTCTAAACGGCAGCGTTTCATCTGTTTTTTTAAGTAATAATGGATAAAATCAGATGGTATTTTGTATTTTCTTTTATAATGGACCGACAAGTGGCAACTGCGTAAATTACAAATTTCATGGCAATCAAAAAAGGAAAAAACCACACAGTCATATCTTCTCAAACGTGAAGAGACTTATACGTAGGATGTCAATTAAGCCCAAAATTCGAAATTCAGTTCGAATCCGTCCGAAAATAATAAAGATATGGGTCTAAAAAATATAGGCTCATTAAATTTCGGGCTTTCGAATCTCGGACTAAATGGGTTGCGGGTCGGTCGGGTATCGGACCGGGTTTGAGGCCCATTAATTTTTTTCTAATTTTTTTTCTAAACCAAAATTTTATCTCTCTATGATTATCTTAACTTCTTTTTAACCATATTACACCATTTGATAATCATTTTTTGTATTATTTTTTTTACTAAATCAAACCTAACCTTTGCTATTTGATTAAATTTTTTTGTTTTATATTTTTTTCACTCTATATTGATTTTGTTTCGTACTAATAGTTTGGATTTTGTTCTTCGATGCACTTATATAAACACATGTTCTATATTTATATATATATGTATCTTTTAACCAAATGACGAAACTTTATCTTGGATCCAATTAACACTTTTTAAAGTGATGAAAACTTTTATTTTTTAATCATATTACATCATATATATATATATATATCAATTTATATTTTTGAAAACGTAGAAACTTTTAAATATATATTTTTAAACCTTTATTTACATATGAATATATTGATTCTTTTTCTATATGTTTTAAATTAATTACATCATATAATTATCTTTTTTATACTATGTTTGTTTTTTTTAATATTTTACATTATTATTATTATCGTAAAAAAAAATATTTTTATTTGATAAAAAAATCCGAAGCCTGGTCTGAATCCGCCCGAAGTCCTATAGAGCCGAGTTTCGGGCCATCGATCCTAGACCCAAAAAATAAATGGGCGGGCCGGCCCGATCCGAAAAATTCTAGGCCCGAATTGAACCCGACCCGGTCCGATCCACCCATTTTACACCCCTACTTATATGACCAGTCATATAATATGATATATATATATATATTCCATCCACAGATATAATTTCGTCTTCTAAAAAATACAATTCAATTTAACATACAGATTGTAAGATTGGGTTAACGAGTTTAAAACGTAAAATAAATTTAAGAAGAAATAGTCTTAATAGAAAAAAAATGATTTTATTTATTACAAGAATAAGACATAAAAAATCCTATGTATCAAAATACGACAACTTTTAGGACATCCTACTTTTAATCTAATATATAGAAATTCAAAGTTAAATAATTAAAAAAAAAAGTATATTTACGTAAGGCGGAATCTAAACTCGCGACAGGAGCCGTTGACTTGCAAGATCACACTTGACCTCAGCAAATCCAACCCTTGAATTCGCCAAGTCATATTCCATCCACAGATTCTGTTGGTGATGATGACCAATCACAAACGCTTCCATTCCCAGTAGATCAGAGTTCCCAAATGTGAAGCAGTACACCTGATTATTCCCTCCCGACCCGTTTACCCGGTACAGCAGCTTTTGACCCGACACCCTCATCTCCGCCCCGTTGAATATCAAATTCACGTCGGGCAGCGATTTGTAATCGGGTTGACCCGACTCCACCCGGTAGCAGAGGTCCATGGCCCCTTGGAACACGAAGTTCGGGTCGTCCACCACTCTCAGGACTCCTTCGGTTTGTTTGAGAAATTCGGTTCTCAGGGCAGTGTAAACCGGTCCGAGCAGGAACGTGAACTGTGTACCGGAGTCGACCATCGTCTGACCGGCCCCGGTATGATCGGGTACGAATGCCGATTTCGGTAGAGGAAGCAATTTCGACCCGACCCGGATTCCTTCCAATCGGACCGTGTACGCGACCCGGTCGAAGTACGGCAACGGCCTCGTCTCCAGAACCAGAGGCGTGTACTTCAGAGACCCGAGCCACGAGAATCTCGCGTCGCCGAGAATCAAAACACCGGTCGAGTCGAGGCCCGAGATGCAGTACGAGAATCTGGAGAGACCCATCTGGTTAACGAACGACAACGCGCCCCGGTTCATGCCCATTAAACCGGTGGTTTTCCCGTCCTCCTCTGAAGTGGAGCTAGAACCGGAGTCCATGCACCCGAACAGCGTACCGGGTCGGGTCTTGGACCCGATTACGAACGTATCGCGAGCGAGGTTGCCTTCGATGGAGGAGGCGTCGGCGTAGGAGATCGCCACGTGGCAGAGCTTGGTCTTTGGGTCGCACGAAGGGGGTATGTGTAAATCCCGGGTCCGGGTCGCGCAATCGGGTCGAGAACAAGGGACGGGTAAATACGAAGAGGACCGAGCCGGGTCGAAAACGGATCTCAAGTTGGGAGCTTTTTTGCAGTGAAGCCATGAGAGCTCGCTTCCGGTGTCGAGAACCATGGAGGGGGGGGAGCCGGCGGCGAGGGAGACAGTGAGGGAGACATTGTGTTGGAACGAGAGCTTGTCTGAAGAAGATGAAGCAGCAGAGAGACGGTGAGGGAAATTCTGGGTTTGGAGAGGGAAAACAAGTGTTTGGCTGGGAAGAAAGTTGCAGAAAGTTGGAGGGAAAGTGAAAAGGAAAATCGAGATTTGGAGAATAATAGTTGCAGGAGACGATGAACCCACCATGGTTTTGCGTAGTTTAGTCTTTGTTACGTGCTTACGTCTTTGTTATATAGCGATTGATTTCCCTTTTTGGTAATTTACTGATATAGAATCGACATATTTACTTTATATATTCAAATCCAATCTTTTGATTAATATAAAATATTACAATATGGAAATACAGAGTCTGGCATCTTCGAAGATATTGTTCCTTTTGTAAGATGCAATTTTTTATATCTTGTAATTAATCCTAAGATTTTCGCAGAATGAATAGTAAATTGGCACATAGGTGCAATTATTGGTATACATACATATATACAACGTAGGTTATCATATATATATAGTGGTAGTACTCTGCAAATATATGCCCCATCCTAACATTTTAGGTTAGAATCCAGAATTCTCTTTGTAATAAAATAATATGAACGTCTAACTAATCTATCAATTTTAATTAGAAAAAAACAAAACTAATATCTCGTTTTTTTTTTGTTTTTAAAAAACATGACAAGTGAAACACGAAGCACCATTAACATTCCATCATATAAAATAAAAAATTATAACATGATGATCCGTTCGGAAAATACCTTTCCGCCAACATAAATACTTTTGTCTCTTATATATTTTTTTTTTTTTTTTTACTTGATAACGATACTTGACGTTAAGGGCGCCCAAAATTTTCCAAAATTCTTCTTAGAATTTTTATTCACGAAATTATTATATTTATGTATTCCTAATCAAGTTTGAATAATTTTACGGGATTTTTTATTTTGAAAGTCGAATATATATATATATATATATATATATATATATATTTATATTCGTTATATATTTTTAAAATAATAAAAATATTTATATCTAAATTTGAATAATTTAACCACTAAAATTGACACGCAAAATGTATATCTCATTCCGAATTCGAACCTAAACTTAGAGAAGAGTATTATCTAAACTTCTCTTATTTTTTATATATTAGTATTAATCTTGGTTTATGATATCCAATTAAAAAAAATATTTATAGTTTACAATATTATCGTTTTTATTATTTCGGCTTGCTTTTGTCATGGGTAAATTACAATTTTATCCTTGCTATTATATTATCTGGAGACTATTTTTTTTTTCTGATACCTGCCCCTCTCCCCATCTTTCATCCCTCTTCGATTCGAATAGTCTAATTTTTTTTTAATACCGACTGATATTCATTCATATTTCACATCACCTTTTATTTGTTTAATCGATCTGGGTTGGTATATATATATATATATATAATATAAAATAAAATAATTAACATCAACTTTTAGTCTCTCTTTTCTTTCTGTTCCCACCTTCCTCGACAGTTGAATGTTTTGAAAGACTTGGAAAAAAACCGAAGAAGCTTTTGATTACAAATAATATATTTTTTTTTTCAGATGATATGTTTTTTTTTGTATACATACAATAATATTAAAGATATGCTTAAATTTATGTTTGTTAATATGTCAACCTTAGCGGTCAATGAAAATTATGCATCTTCCGGTAGACCAACACTTTATAATGTATTATGTATACGTGTTATATTTCTCCTCCCTTTTTTTAAACATGAATGAACTTGTAAGGATATTTGTGGAGATAGTATGAAAATTAAAAGAAATATTTGATTTTCTAACGGATTGTGCTTAATGTTTTTTTTTATAACTAGAATGGTTCTCCGAATTTTCAACCCGATTAGATCCACCATAAATCCGAAACCAACCTTTGTATATAGACCATTTTAGTTCAGAAATTATATCCATTTCCACCAGTGAAAATTAACGTGATATTGATATATATATTTATTTTTATATATATATATATATATATATATATATATATATATATATATATATAATCATAAAAGAAACTAAAACACTATTATCGATAAATATTTTCTGTTAACCCATGCAAGATAGCAGAAACAAAAATAAATCAGGAAAGCAATATAAATTTAATAATTAATTAACACCTAATGTCGGTTCGATTTCAATTAGCAACACTTTGGTTACTATATAGTTTATTCTATTTTTATTTCGTTATCTTTCATATATAATTTAAAAGAAAGAGGTAACAACGCGTAATGGTTCTTTTTTCTGATGAAATTGTTTTTGTATTCGTAATTATGGAATTTTTAAATTGATAAAAATGGGCCAATCTTTTAGGTGGCAAATGAGCATTTTCCTTTTTTTTTTTTTTGTCAAAGTTGGCGGAAGGTCGGGACAAAGTTTTCGGTCGTCGATCAGATTGAACCTGGAGACAACCCAATGAAGCTTACCAACTCCTAAGTGTAACCAATTATATATATATACACACACACATATATACACGCACACACAATAGAATATAATTCTAACAATGGACGAATTAGTTTACATTTTTTTAGAATGTATTCGTGAATTGTGTTTTTTTTGTAGGGAAATATTCAATATATAA